GGTTCGAGACCCGCCTGGGCAGCAAGACCTCATCTCTACAATAAATCAAAAAAATCAGCTGGGCGTGGTAAGGCATGCCTGTAATTCCGGCTACTCGAAAGGCTGAGGCGGAAGGATCGCCAGAGCCCGGCAGGTCGAGACTGTGGTGGCTGGGAGTGGCCACTGCACTCCAGTTTGGGTGACAGAGTGAGACTCCAACTCAAAAAAAAAAAAAAATTAGCCAGGTAGGGTGGTGTGTGCCTATAGTCCTACCTACTAGGGAGGCTGAAGTGGGAGGAGCTCTTGAGCTCAAGAGTTCAAGGATGCCCTGAGCTATGACTGCACTACTGCACTTCAGCCTGGGTGTCAGAGCAACACCCTAGCTCTTAAAAAAAAAAAAGAAATGTAAAAACATATAAAATAAAATATATTTGATGAGCACCTACAATATATATCAGATATAACTGTGTTAAGCTCTGAGGATACAACAATGAAGATTCTCTACTTTTGAGAAGCTCAGAATCGTAAAGGAGAAACAGGTACTAATGTGTTGTATGTACAGCACAGACCAAGCTTCAAAGCACTACACCAAATGCTTTTCCCAAACATCACAATGTAATTTTTCATGCTGCCCAAACTGAGAGAATGTCACCATGTTACCATGATCCATCAAATTCTTTCTTTTGGGCTCAAAGACTGGAGATACCTAGGAAGAGTCAGAAATAAAGACAGAGGAAGGGAGAGTCCAGTCAACAAAGCAATCTTCTAGTTGAACAGTCTTCTTGAACAATCTTCTAGTTCCAGAATTCAGCTCTGAGCTGTGTTCTGTGAGTTTCTTGTATTTCCTCAAGTGTTATAATTATACAAATACTTCTAGAATAAGGTATTGTCTGCCTATAGTCCTTTCCTCTTTATTTGGTTAACAGATTGAGCTCACCTGAACACAAGGTAATTCATAATTCATAAGCTAATACATTGACAGGACCAGTCATAGGCCCATCACCCAAGCTAAGTTCATCACAACCTTTCCGTGAGACTTTTCCAAGTGGAATTGTCACAGAGATAGGAGAATATGCGTATAGAAGTTCCAGTAGCCATGGTTCTGGCTTCCAGAAAAAGTGGCCAGAGAGTGAAGCAGAATATATATAAGAATCAGAGATTAGAAATGAAGAGATGAGGGGGAGGTGGGAGAGAGACATACAGATCCCTGATGATGTTTGAGTCCTTATTTTCATCTCAACCTCTGCCTTTACCATGGGCCAGTTTCTCTCTCTGTCTCTCTCTTTCTCTCTTTCTTTCTTTTTTTTCTGAAACAACCTGGAGTTGTTTTTGTCACCTGAAACCAAAAGCTACCTTGACTAATATAACGTCTACTCCTTGAAACCAAAAAAGACAAACATGCCTGATATCATGTAATAAGAGCTATAGTGCTAGAATTGACATAGCCCATGGGAACACAGTGAGAGGAGATTAATTCTTCTTGCTGTGGGAAGTAAGACTGAGTAAGGTTTCACAATGAAGGTGGCATTCAACCAACTCATGACCAAGTCATCAATAAACGAGTAGTCCAGCTGTCTGTTAGAGAATGGCAAAAGATGAAGTTGAAAATGTATGTGGGAACAAATTATAAAAGTGATTATTGCCATGTGTTTAAGGATTTAGGGCTTTAACTAATAGGCAATGTAAAGCAAACCAAGGGTTTGAAGGGTGATCACATAATTAGATTTATCTTAGGAAAAAATTTTGGTAGGCCAGGCTCCATGGCTCAGCCTGTAATCCCAGCATTTTGGGAGGCTGAGGTGAGTAGACTGCCTGAGCCCGCGGGTTCAAGATCAGCCCAGGCAACTTGGCAAGACCTTGTCTCTACAATAAATAAAAAATTAGCCAGGCATGGTAGCGCGCACCTGTAATTCCAGCTACTTGGAAGGCTGAGGCGGAAGGATTGCTGGAGCCCAGCAGGTCGATGCTGGGGTAACTGTGAGTGTGTTACCGCATTCCAGCCTGGGCGAAGGAGTGAGACTTCAGCTCAAAAAAAAAAATTATAAAGAAATTTCGTGGAGGGTAAAGTTGAGAGAGAACTGGAAATTATTTAAGAAGCTACTGCAATAGCAAACTGAAATATAAACACACTAAATTTTAAAGACTTAGTATGCCAAAAAGAATGTACTGTAAAACATCTCATGCCCCACTTTTTTAGGTATATGTTCACTAAAGCATCTAATAGTGGCAAATAGATTTTGTTTGGATTCTACAGACCTACTATAAAATGAATGACCAACATTTTAAAATTCGGATATCAAAAAATTCCTATTTTATGTTTCTCTTGCAAAATTGGAAGACATGACGTTTTTTTCTTCATCCAACTTAAGCAAGTATTTTATTGTTTTGTGCTATTTGTTTTTTTTTTTGAGTTGGAGTCTCACTCTGTTGCCCAGACTGGAGCCTCGACCTGCTGGGCTCCGGCGATCCTTCTGCCTCAGCCTTCCGAGTAGCTGGAACTACAGGCACGCGCTACCACGCCCGGCTAATTTTTTTGATGTATTGTAGAGATGAGGTCTCACCAAGTTGCCCAGGCAGCTCTCGAACCCGCGGGCTCAGGCAATCCACTCATCTCAGCCTCCCAAGGTGTAGGATTACAAGGTGAGCCACCGAGCCCGGCTACTATTTGTTTTTTATAAGCTACTTTATAATATATAGGCAAGGAGTGAATAAGCAGACAGACAGCTACATGTGCTGGTCCTCCAGTTGCAATGAGAAGACAGAGCTGATTAAAGCACCATCCTCCACCTTTGAGGAGCTTGATGGGGGAAACATGATATGATGCAGTGATAATATTTCATTGTATAGCTTCAAATGTGTATAAAATGGTTTCAATAACCATCCCTCACTTTACATTCACTTTTTAAAGTGACTAAGTAAACATTTTATATATTTCCTCTATAGCATAATACTAGTGCTAGAAGTACAGACTCTGGAGTCAGATTGCCTATGCTCACATCAGCAAATTGTGTGACCTTGAGCAAGTTCCTTTTGATTCAGTTCCTCAACTATAACATGAGAATATAAACAACTCCTACCTTATTGGGTTATTGTGAGGGTTAACGTAATTAGCTAATAGTAATAATAGTAGTAGCACTTATTTCCTGGTAGAATTAAAATGACTACAACTCCTCATTCTCCTCTTCCCACTATTTTTTTTTTTTTTTTTTGAGTTGGAGTCTCACTTTGTGGCTCAGATTGGAGTGGAGTGGCACACTCACCACCACTCCAGCATCAACCTGCTGGGCTCCGGCAATCCTTCCCACTGAACCTTCCAAGTAGCTGAAACTACAATGCACACTACCACGCCCAGCTAATTTTTGATTTATTGTAGAGATAGGTCTCGCCAAGTTGCCCAGGCTGGTCTCGAACCTGCGGGCTCAGGCAATCCACAAGCCTCGGACTCTCAAAGTCCTGGGATTACAGGCCTCTTCCCATTATTATTATTGCCTACAGCCTAGCATGGACAATCGTGAAGGTAAACTCTGGCAAATGAAGCCAGTTCCAAGTGCACAGCTTAGACTGGATGGGGCAAAGAAACGGGAGAAAACAGAGGATGTACCCCAGTGGGGGAAGGTGGGTAGGAAGCTCTGGAATTCTGCAGCGGGTTTAGTGCAGTCTCTGTAAAGATGTTGGAATTCAGCTCTGACCAACTGTTAACACTTAGGAGCAATGCTGTTGTTATCATTGTCTTCCAGCTATGACAAAAACCAAAGTGACTTCAATTAGAAAAAAAGTTAAACATCGGATTTGGGAATCATTGTGTTTAGTTTTTATGAGAATGAAATAAAGCAAAAGGTATTTTCAGTGTCCTTTCAGGTTTATTTTTAAAAAGCAACTTTCAGAGGGCTCTCTTGGGGGTAAGAACAGATTCAGTCAATACACTTATGCTAAATGAGAAATTATTATGCCATGTGTTACTTTAAATGCTACAGGGGCTCAGTGTAGAGTAGTTTGAATAGTCAAAAGACAACAATATCATAATTTTGGGAACTTCAAGTCAACTTCATCATCTCATAGAAGGTTGAGCTTGGACCATAGAAGTGATCGGTTGTCTGAACGCTGCCTTTTACAGAAGACGGAATCAAGGCCCGGTAGTATAAATGATTTGTCCAAATTCCACCGAGCAAGTTATGTCTAGCTAATAGTGACGTCTTAACTACAGCCAGCGAGTGCTCACCCCATAGGCCATTAAGTTTCCAAAAATAAGTAAAAGAAGCCCAGCAGGGGTGAGGACTGAGGAAGGGAGCGGGAAGCCCTGGGGACGTGCCTATTTTATCATTTTGGGGGAAGGATGGTGCGTACAAACCTGCAGGTCAAAGAATGCTGTAGACACGCCTGCCAGAACCGCCCCGTTATGCCAAACCCACGTAGATACAAGCAACGTTAGCCGCGTGGATCTCACTTTCTCGGGCGGACCTGGGGGGGCAGCGGAGTTTGCGGGGTCACGCGCAGGGTCTGGGAGCATCTGGGGTGAGGGCTGGGTCGGGCAGCACGCGGGATCGGGGAGAAGGGGATCTGCTATCGCCGCGACGCCTCTCACCTTCTTGTGGCCTTCCCAAGACAACCGTCCGAAGGGCGACACACCGATGGCCAGACCAGCTTGCAGCTCAAGACGGTTTCGGAGCGAGGATCCTGAGACGCCGCGTAGCCATGGAGACAGGACCGCGCGCGGCGGAAGCCAAGAAGGCAAAGGAGGGTAGAGGCGGAGGGCGTGGGCCTGGAGCAGGGCGGAAGCGGGGTGAAGTCGTGGGGGGCGGACCCGGGCCGGGCGAGCCGGGGGAGGAGGGGAGAGAGCAAGGCGGAGGGGTGAGAGGGCTCGGG